GTTTAAATCGTCAAAATACGTTCAAAACAGTTTAAAATCAGTTTAAAAATACAGCTGTTTTGGTAAGGGACTACTCAGTTGACAAAGAAGCGGCCCGAAAATTCTTACTGAATTGCAGCTGCATCTGATTTAACTGCATCATGTCGATCTACTCGAAAATCTGAATGCGGTGGTTACCGAATTCAGACACGGCTATTCTGCCATCACTAAGAACTGCTATAGAGAGTGGTTCATTAAACTCTCCTATCCCGCTCCCTTTTGTTCCAAATTTTGTGATGAACTTCCCACTTAGTTCAAACACCTGAACTCTGTGATTCAGTTTATCACAGACCATCAGGTGTCCTGCCTTGTTAACTGACAAGCAACGAGGTGTATTGAACTCCCCGTCTCCCTCCCCCTTTCTTCCAAATTTGAACAAAAAATCTCCCTCCCTAGAAAACACTTTAATTGAATTTTCTTCGGCATCTGATACTATAAGTAAGTTGTCATGCTGGACGCAGTGCCAGGGTCCCTTGACAGAGCCCTCTCCTCCAATTTTACATAAAAACTGACCACTAGGAGAAAATTTCTTGATTAGTTTGTCACCATAATCCGCGACCATAACATTTCCGTCACTGTCTACAGATAAACCAAGGGGACGCCCAAGCCGGTGATCACGATTTCCTTTGCCACCAAACTGGCTCAGGTACTCACCCCGCTCACTAAGCAATTGAACACGGTGGTTATTTCCTTCCACCACAAAAATATCCTCATTCTTTATATCAAAAGCTATCCCGGTAGGAAAGTCAAATTCTCCCTGTTTATCACCCTTTGTACCAAACGATCTTAAGTAGGTTCCATCACTACTGAACAGCTGCACTCTGTTGTTACCCTTCTCAGTCACTGCAATTTCATTACGTTTATTCACTGCCACTCCCCAGGGACTGCTAAGCATTCCAGCAGCCGAGCCTTTTCGTCCAAATGATAAGACGGATCTGAACGTTCTGGCTTTGCCTTGAACTGAAAATGGGCTGCCATGAGTGGGTTTCTCATTTACTCTTATTGATAGCTCGCATTTTCCAGTTTCTTTAGCAAAGTAACTTATCTTGTAGCTGCCATCTTTGTTATCTTGGACTCGCACTTTCGTCGCACAGTCCTGTCCTTGCTGATTTCTGATTTCCACTGTTACACAGTCACGCTCGTCATAACATTGTTCTCCTTCAGCATTTCTTGTTGTCAAAACAAATTGTGCTTCAAGTCCGACGACAGCTTCATTGATTCCTTTTCCTTCGGCATTTGATTGCTCCGCACTAGTCTTGGGAAAGTAGGTTTTGAAAGAGCCGATTCCTTCAGTGATTGTTTTCTCTAGTAATGTTTCGTTTTCCACGAAAATAAATCGTCGAAGACCTTCAAGGTTACGCTCGACTTCCTCTTCTTCACGTCTGACTCCTTCTTGAAAGATTGTTTTTAATGTCTTCTCTAACTGTGCTATCTCGGGGTTTGTGCTTCGTTTTAGAATTGTTTCAGTTTTTTCAATTCCAGTCTCAATCTTTTGAGCTTGTTGTTCAATCTCATTCCTTTGTGTTCCCAGTCGCTGGAGTGATTGTTTTCCTTGATTTTCAACTTCATGAATGATCTCCTGTTTCTTGGCCTCGATAACAGCAAATATGTTATCAGCAAACTGTTCCACGCTTCTTTTCACATTGGCGACTTCCCCTTGAATTTTTGCACAATGCTGGTCGATTTGCAAGATTCTATTTCTCATCTGCTGCGCAATTTCCTTTTGAGATTCAATCACGGACTTCGCCTCTGCCTTTCTTTCATTTGCCGCTTCTTCCAAAAGTATTTTGATGTGGCCGTCGCCATGAATGGTTGCAAAACAAGAGTTGCAAATAGGTTCTTCACAGTTCTTACAAAAGAATTCCAGTTCCTTCTTTTCGTGCCCTGGCTTTCCGCAAAATGCTGGTCGCTTTAACACGTCCTCGATGTCTTGATCTTGGAAGTCTTTAATCGCCAACACTCGGTGTTCTTTATAAAGCCGGATTATGTTGTGCGCGGTAATACAGTCGTCACACCAGAATGCACAACACTGGAAGCAGTACAAACTGTGGGTGCTTTTCTTGTCACAGTTTCCACATTTGACACCTGTAGTGCTACACTCTTGGATAGCCAACACATCTAGCAAACTGTTAATGCGAAAGTTGGTCTGCAGATCCTTCAAGTTTCTATTGCTAGGGACTCTACTCTCTCTTCTACATTCCGGGCATGTAATGACATCATGGCGGCCACTCGTTCGTAGAATTCCTTCCAAGCAGTGAAGGCAAAAACTGTGTAAACATGG